TGAAAGCAATCTATAAGTGACACACAGACATACATACATACATACATACATGCACCATTACCACTGGCCACCCTTCATCAAAATTAATTTCCTATTTTGGAAAAAATACATATATGTATCAAACAATTATCATTTTAAGAATAACTTTAGATTCTTTCTTTGGGGGTAACCATAGTAGTATAATAGGGAAAAGTTTCATAGTTACACATGAATTATAAAGGTATGCTTCCTAATTTTGTAATTATCATTAGTTTAGTAAATATTTAAAATACATTAAGTGCCTGTTTTGTGCTAGGCTTTGTGTCAGATATTGGAGCAGCAAAGAGAAAAGATAACATCTTTGTTGCCCTCTGAAAGACTTTTTATTTTGCTTTATAGCATTAATAGGGCTATTGTACATATGTTTGTGTGATGTTCACCATTTCTCTCATACAAATGTAAGTTGTTTTATTAGTTGGTGACTACATTCCAGTGTATAGATAGCACTTGTATAATATGAAGTCATTAAGGACTTCTTAAATTTAGAAAAAAAAGAGATAAACCTAGAGTGCAAGTATAAAGCTACAGGAAGACCAACTCAGCCTGAGGAACAAGAGAAGAAATCAGTGAAGAGGTGATTTGAAGAGAACAAAGTGAACCAATATTTCAAAGAATAAAAGCATGGCAACTGGGGGAAATTATGTTATGATTTCTGAGTAGAGATTATTGATGAAGGGGGCAGCAAGAAGTTAAGAAAGAGGAAAACAGAAAAAGATCACCGAGGCTGTGAGAGCCCATCTTCAGAAGTCTAGATATTTCTCTTTAAGAAAAGAATCTGGGTTGTGATGGATGCCTATTGGTTATACCTATCTTTGGGGTCAGAGAGATAGTACAGCAAGTAAAGTACTTGCTTTGCATTCTGCCAATTTGATTTGATCCCGGGCATCCCATGTGATCCTCTGAGCCTGCCAGGAATGATCTCTAAGTGCAGAGCCAAGAATAAACCCCAGGTGTGGCCTTCCAAAAATAAAAAACAAAGAAAGATCTGTCTTATTCCATTCAATCATTTTTTTGTAACATGCATCCCAGTCCCGTGCTTTTTTTTTTTTGCGCATGTGACTTTTCTGGGTCTTATTGAAGTCTTACTGAAGATCTTACTCTAAGATTTAGGGAAGGCATGCAGTCCAAACTTTGCTATCTCATATTTTCCATCTTTCTGTCCAGAGGAACTGAGTCTACATGAAAATAGGACTTCAGTTCCAAAAAGACAATCCTAGCATCTTTTGTTGATTAGAACAATTAAAGATATTGGAAAGTATCTCTGCTCCAGAGTTGTAGAGAACTTTGACATAGTAAATTAGATTTTCAGAGATCACCACATAGGAAAGAATCCACTGAAAATAAAGTCAGTATTAATTAAATCAGAAACAAGAGACAACAAGTCACACTTCCTAAAGAGATTTGATATTTTCATACTCTCATGTGGAACTGAGCCAAGTTTGGACCAACCAGTTGTGTGGTACAAAAAAATCTCTCTCTCTCTCTCTCTCTCTCTCTCTCTTTATAAAGGGGTAACTCCAAGTGGTTCTCAAGAGACAAAGTGGCAGCAGGGGTGGGAGTTTGGTGTCCCAGTGAATTCTGGCCAACAACCTGAGATTCAAGGTGAATGCCCAAAGATGCAATGTCACACAAGCCTTGCACAGTATCCAGAGGATCATGTGGTTCTGGGTTAATCACTGGTGTCAGCTGCATGCAAGATATGCATCTGAACCTCTGTATTACATCTTCACTTTGCTTTTTTCTTAAGCCTGTCAGGTAAGTCAAATTCTTTTCTTATTCACAAAAGAATTCTAGCTATTTAGTCATTAAAAAAATGGATCCAAAAAATGAGAAAGACAGTAAAGGGAAAGGGCAGGGGGGGAGGGTGGTAAGGAGAGTGAAAGAGAGAAAAAAAGATGTAAAAATATGAGATTCCTGAAAAGGAAAATTAGACCTAAACTCTGGAGACTAGATAATATTAGACCAAGACTAGAGGTTACAATGTGAATACAGTCAGAGTTAGGAAGAGGCCTGAAGGCATTTGCTGTCAATACAGGTTATCATTAAAAATAAAACTATCTTGCCAAGAGTTTTCCATAAAGCCAGTTGCTAAATTGGAATAGTTCAAGTGTCCTAGTTGACCTGAGGGTGAAGCAGTGATAAGTGGCCTGGGAGCCTGGGCCCAAGTAACTGTTCTAAGTTCAAGTTAAGGATGTCACCAGAACACAGCACTGATTTATAGTTAGAAAGTTGTCTGGATATGTAGAAAAAATAATATCAGTGAGTTGTATATTCACTACAATGAATATGAGTGGGAGAGAAGAGGCCAGATTTTAGTACCATATCTTACTTTGAAGGGCAAGTTCATATCTTGGTCTTTAGGGTTGTAGCTATACACTTAGGGCAGAGCTTTGGCAAATTCTACCGGTGTTTCTCCTTACTAAGATAATTTTGAAATAGCCTCTTATCACACACTGACAATACAACTAAAGCATTTTATTTGGATCTATTTGCAAATGGGCCAACATTATTGCTAGCAGATCAGCCTAAATGCTCCAAATTTGTATAAAAGTGGCTGAGAAGTAGTTAAATTACAACCTAGTTGAATTGTGAAATCTTCTTTCAAAATTCTAAATATCATCTCTAGCTTCAAATGATGCCTGAGGGATTCATGAATTCATAGTCTTTATCACTTTGGAGATTAAATCTCTCCTAATGTCTGGATTCAACATCTGTACATGTATAAAAAGATGCTTCAGTGGAGCCGGTGAAAATACAAATCAAGTAAAGCACGTTTGAAGCTTCAGTACCCCTTGGCATGATGGCACAGCCAATGCTATCAAAAGTAACATGTAATGAGTGAAAAATGTCACTGTATGCTTTAGGGATCCCTCAGATGAAAATTGTTTGAGGCCAGAGCATGTGTGTCAGTTGAATTCATTTATTTCATAAGAAAATATAAAAGGAAAGAGGAGAACCATTTGATCATTAAATAAAGAAAATTAGAATATTTTCTATTTTTAAAAATTGAAATGAGGCAATATTTTAAAATTCCACACAGGTGGCATTATTAACTAACTGATTAGAATAATAACCTAGAAGATAAAATAATGCACTTTGTTACTGGCATACTGTCTGACCCTTTTCCTGATTTTAGAAGAGAATAAGGAAGGTAGGAATAGAAAAACCTGTGCAACTGCTGGGATGATCATAAGTTGACTGAGATTGTAACACTCTGTTATTATTTCATCTAAATAAAAAAGAGTTTATGAAGTTTTATCCCTGGTACTAAATATATATAAATATATATATATATTTATCTGGCATTATGTGACACCATGATTCAGAAAGAAAAGCTAACATTGATTTAAAATACAGTTTTTGGAAAAGTCAAAAATAGAAAAATAAAACATAGCAGTCTATAAGACTGCATCCAGGCAAAATCTCCATTAGAGCACAACTAGGAATCAAGTGTAATTGCTTACAACTCCCATCAGCTTATCACCAGGGAAGTCTGATCAATCTACACACCTGCAGTTTTGAAAGTGGGTGATCCAGAACCCAAGGTGTTGGCAGAATAGTGAAAGGGAGATCAGAGATTTAACTCTAGCTCTGGATAAGAAGGAAGCTGTGATGTCATGATTCACAGACCAAAGAAGGAGGATAGAGAAAACTTTGAGGACAATTTAGAAGCTAGGACTTGAGTGGGTTCCTTCTAACAGAGGAGAATAATTCACATGGCTATTCCATGTGTTCGATTGGGATCCTTTTCTCACTCTTTAAAAATCTAGGGAAGGGAAGGACCAAAAAGATAGTACCAAGATTAAGGCACTTGCTTAGAATGGTGCTAGGGCCACAATGCTGCTTCGAATCCTGGCACCATATATGATCTCTAAGCACTGAGCAGGTGTGGTTACAAAGCACTATTAAGTGTGACCTCAAACCAAAAAAAAAAAACACAAAAAACAAACAAGGAAACATGAAAAAAAATCTAGTGATGTCTGTTTCTAGAATAAGCCACCAATAGCAGCAGGTACCTATAGCTGGGTATAGAGGAGGGAGGTGGGATCACAGATAATGCTTAAACAGAGAATAGGTCTGGTCACCAGAGGAGAGTGAAAGCAAGGGGATTTATACCCAGGATGATGAGGATAAGAAGGAACAAACACATCTTTCCCTCCAGACCCAATATCCACAGAAATAGAGCAAATACTGAAAACAAGTGCCACTGAACTGTCTACTAGAAAAACAAAGAACATATCCTAAATCCTCCAGCAGAATCAATGAGAATCAGCTGACATAGTGGGGAGTTTAACAACAGTGAATTTAAAGTAATTTTGATGAAGAAAATGAGACACATCAATTTCTGTACCATCCCACTGAAACTGAATATTATATTTTTAAATTGTAAATGGAAACTTCTCAGTGATAGATTATAAACCAAGACAAAACAAGGATCAATAAGTATATGAGATTGAAGTCAAACTGAACATCTTGTGACCATAGTCAAATAAAGTCAGAAACCAACAACTATAAAAACCCTGAAAAAATGCAAACATTTGGACACAAAACAACAAGCTCCAAACAATTATCGGTAATTAGAAAATGAAAGTAGATATAAAAAGTTACTTGGAGACCAACTGAAATGAAGAGATGATATATCAGATCCTATGTAATATAGCAAGTTAATATTAAAAGGGACGTTTATAGTAATAGTTATTAATAAGCAAGAAAAGTCTCAAAAATTCTTACATTCAAAGGAAATAGAAACAAACAAATGCAAAAAGGAAGAAAATAAACTTAGAACACAAATAAAATAACCTAGAATACAAAAAGATGGCAGAAAAGATTATAGTGTGTTCCTAGAAATGATACATAAAATTGAAAATAAATCTCTTGCTTAACTTCTTTTTCTACTATGTGAGCTCTGGGCCCCATTTTGTAATCTGTTTTATAAGAATATTAAATACAGTTAACATTACCTGGACTTTGTTCATCTCCAGCTTATTCTTTTCATTGGCGCTCTGGTCTTGCTTGCCAGCTCCTTTTTTCTGAGGTCCTTTTCCAAAGAAGATGTAATTTACAAAGGCATATTCCAGCAAAGCCAGGAACACAAACACAAAGCAGCCCATCAGGTAGATATCAATTGCTTTGACATAAGGGATCTTTGGCAGGGTCTCCCTGAGGTGGGTGCTGATGGTCGTCATTGTCAGCACTGTGGTAATTCCTATGAAACAGAAAGACTCAGTTTAGCTGAAGGCACTTTTCTTCCTTCCTTCTTCCTTCCTTCCTTCCTTCCTTCCTTCCTTCCTTCCTTCCTTCCTTCCTTCCTTCCTTCTTTCCTTCCTTTCTTCCTTCTTTTTTTGAAGGGTATGGTGGTAGGGAAGAGGGCTTTTAAGCAAATGCCCAAAGGGTCCAGCAGGACTTCTGGCAAGACAAAGCCAGTAGGGCCACAAAGTTTGATTCTTAGGTAATTAGGCTCTACTTGGGCCCACTGGTGCTGGGGGCGGGGGTGGGGAGCAGGGTGAGGGCAGGCCCTAAATACCCACGCAACACAGGCACCATCACTTCTGAGCTTTTTTCCTGATCCTGAAGACACTTTTTATGTTTTCATTTCTAAAATTTAGAGCAGTGATTTTTGTTTTTATTTTTTTAATAGCTGCAGACTAGTGAAAATAGGATAAATATCTCAGGGATATTTAATGCAGAAAGAGAATCAGGGCTGGAGAGATAGTACAGCGGGTAGGGTTTTTGCTTTGCATTCGGTCAACCTGGGTTCGGATCTCCGGCATCCCATATGGTTCTCTGAACACTGCCAGGTGTAATTTCTGAATGAAGAAAGTAACCCCTTAGCATCAAGCTGACTGTGACCCAAGAAGCCAAATAAATAACTAAATGAAAACCATTATTTACAATAGGAATATTTATATATTAATATTTGTAATGACAGTGCTACAATGCATTTGCTAGAGCAAGTTTTTGTAATAATACTGCTGCATGATGCAGGTGTCATGGTCATGGTCACGCTGCATGATGCAGGTGTAGCATATGTTAATTAGAATTAGTTTTTTTTTGTATGAAATGGAAGGAAATTTCTGTAGACTGGCACTGGTAATGTGGATGGCAGTTGAAAAACACTGTTTTAGAGGACAGATGTCACTTTCTTTTAAGTGCCCCAGAATTAAGGTGCAGTGTGAGCAGTTGGGTGAAATTTGAATGCAAACACTGTAGACTCCTGCTACAGTGTGTGAATAGGTAATAAAATACATCAAGGATAGAAAACCAATTTTTTAAAATATAAAGGTCAAAGAAAAAAAGAAAGTATGTGGAAAGGCATATCATAATCCCATTGACAGGACTATTGCATATTATCATGTCACATTTTTTCTGCCTTCCTTCAGTCTCTCCTTTCTGTATCTATCTTTGTCATAATAATTCCCACAGCAGCCGCTAGCAAGCTCAAAGTTGGTATCATCTTAAGAATGGCTTTATTGCATGAATTTATATTATACAGGATCACAAAGTATAATCTTTTAAAAAAACAATGTTTGGTGTGTAGTGAGACAACAAATCAAAAGGTGAGATAAGAAAGTTGAGGATTTGCACTATTTGTTTTATGTAATTTTTACATATAATACAATCTTGATGTTTTAGCTTTTCTGATTTTTTTAGTTACCTTTATTAATTACGTTGTATTAACTCCAAATGTTTTGATTCCAACGACTAGAGTGAATCAATTCCCTGGAGTCAGGAATAAACTTCTTAAAAAATTTCAACTTTGGATTTGTAAAAGAAGTTTAAGACTGCAAACTCTCAGGAGGAAGATTTTGTTTTATCTATGTTATTAAATATGGCATTTTAAATATTAGAACATTTCTGTGCTTCTGAGTTTACTCACTGGCAGTGGGAAATGTGGAAGGGATATAGACAAGAAGGGACTTACAGACAGTGGTGGAAGGACATTCGCACATTGGTAGTGGATATGTAGTGATAACATTTTATGTTTAATACATAGTAAATATGAATATAAACTAACATATTTATAAATATTAACACTATTAGCACTATTATAAACCATATTATTTCATTAATGATAATAACAATAAGCATCTTGTGCTGATGGTAATAGTCATTGTGTTAGGTAATTAAATTGGGAAATATGTAGTACAAAAGAAGTTGTAATTTCTTGTCATTTGTGCCAAAATAGTAACATTGTACATTTGTGGTATAATATAGTTTTGAGCACTTATAATAACCCCAAATTTGACATGACTGTCATAATAGGTAGTTGAGTATAATAGGGCAGGTTCATCTTTCCCATTTTATACCTATGTAAACAGAAAGAGATGAGTTATTTGCTGTAGGTACCCAACTGATGCACAAAAAAGCAAAAATGTGTTAGGTCAAAGCACCTAAAAGCAGAAATATAACATAAGATATGAAACTTTATGACGTTACTTAAAAGTAAAGATAGGAGCATGAAGCAGATTTTCAATTTGAAGAACAGTAGGCAGAGGAAACAGAAGCAAGAAAATGAAAAGGCAAAATCTTGGTACCTATTTGCCATTTAGATGATTCTAGATAGGTTCTTTGATCTTAGTAGAACAGAAGAAGTAGGAATTCAGAACTATCATACAACAGTAAAAGTGGTGTAATTGAGTGATGTGCTGGACTGACAGAAATACTATCATGCATGATCTTATTTTTGATTTAAAATTTAAATGTAATCTAATATGACTCTAGCTAATGTGCATAGCACATAATTTATTTTCGAATTCATTAATCGCATTTATGTTCCTACTCCTTGAGGACAGAAATGTAAATAAATCAAATCAATGAGCTTGAAAGCTATCCCTCCCTGCAGTGGATAGCATGCTAGATTTTCCTTAAATATAGTCATACTTATATTCAAATAGTATGGTATTATAAACTATTTATTTTCCTTAGTAAACGTTGAAAGGTTGACAGGAGGTGGACACCACTGAAAAACTTAAGTGATGCTAGCAGGACCTGGTTGTTCAGTGCCAAAAGTGAGAAATCATTATTAATAGTATTGTAAACAAACAAAAAAATTAAATAAAATACCCACAAAAAACAAAAGTTCTGACCTTGTATGCATGAGGTCCATAAATTGAGTCCCGGAGACACCACACACACAAAGCAAGGTTGCAGAGGCTCTGCTGTGTGGGGGTCCTGGTGCCTCAACAAAGCATCTGATCTCCCATGTAATAACATGGAAGCTACTTTGAGGGAAGTGGGCAATCTGGTGGAGGGTGTGGTACTAGAATATTTTCTGAAGCAGTATTATTCAAAGTTTTGTAAATCATTGTGCCTAAAATAAAATAAAATTTTGAAAAAGAACATAAAATGTGCCAGCACTGGGGGGCATGTGTGTGACCCCTGGCAAGCATCTGTGTGAGCACTAGTAAGGAGTACAATTCCCTACTAAGTACCACAATACATAGTGTGAGCAATGCAACATGGAATGGGTGTTGCACCCCCTAACTCCAGAAACAATAGCATTTTCAAAAAGGGATGAGGAGAGGATTTTTTTTAAAGTGAGGGAGGGGTGGGAGATAGTCAAAGTGCTGAAATGCATGCTTTGCATGCAGAGATGAGTTCAATTCCCATCACAATTCCACCAAACATGTCAGGTCTGGCATTGCTGGGCCAAATATCAGTGGGCATGGTTAAACTTGCAATTACAGTCTAGTTATGAAAGAATATGTTGATCAGTTAACTCAGTTTGGCACTTTGAGAAGAGGGATATGTGTGTATGTGTATATGTGTGTGTGTGTGCATGTGTGTGCGCGTGCGTGCCTACATTCCAAAGTGATAACTGTAATGCCTTTATTATCAAATAAAGCTGATCCACACATTCAAATTCATCAGACACCAACATTTTCTAACTTTCCAAAGAACCCTTTAAGCCTCAGTTATAGTCCTTCAGTTTGTAGCAATCATTCAACCATGGCAAGATTGATTCTGACTTTAGCTCTCCCAAGTCGGAAACCACTTCCTATCCTGGTAATATCATTGTTATAGGTGACAAGTGTCTATGTCTTATTTAAATGCAATCAATTACATTTAAGAAAGACCCAGATCAATATTATTTAACTTTAGTTAATCTTCACAAGATAGTAATTCCCAACATTTGACATAACTTGCAAATAGTTATATTGCCTTTTGAGTCACGCCCGGTGATGCGCAGAGGTTACTCCTGTCTGGACACTCAGGAATTACTCCTGGCAGTGCTCAGAGGACCGTACGGAATGCTGGGAATCAAACCTGGGTCAGCTGCGTGCAAGGCAACCTCCCACCTGCTGTGCTCCAGCCCCCTGAAGTCATATTTTTTAAGCTTTCTCCAAACTCATTTGAGAATGATGCATTTTAAATGTTTTCCAGAGTAAAAATCAGGATCAAATTGGAACTAATTACAAAGTTAGAAAATTTTGTAACCAGAAGTTTGAAATATTTTCTGTGAAGCCCTAATGTAGCTTTGAATATGCACCAAGATTATTTTTTATTTTGCCAAAATGTTTGAAAGATACAATGTCATGCACATTAATTCTGTACTTAACTGTTTATTTTCAAACACTCTTCTGGTAATCTTGTATTTTTTTATTTTCCACGAGAGAAATCCATGTCTACAGTTCCAAACATTGGTTGTTTGGAATTGGAGTTGGAACAACTGGAAATCGAAACATTGGATTTGGAAGATAAATCATACCAGCCCTCTGAGGTTTGGGGAACTCATTACCTAGTGCCACTCTGGCTGCAGATGCATCATAGTTGATCCAAAAAGAAACCCATGACAGAATTGTAATCAGTGTGGAAGGCATGTAGGTTTGCAAAATGAAGTAACCAATGTTCCTTTTCAGACGAAAACTTAGCGACAGTCGTGGATATGCCCCTGAGTTAAGAGAATAAATACAAGAAAGGAAAAAAAGAAAAAAAAATTAGGTCATCACTTGGCTGAAACCTTCTTTATTTCACAGTGTTCCTAGTTCATTTTTGAAGAAATATCCTCACCTGTTGTGAACTCAACCTTCTTGGAAACCATCTTATAGTCTACAATTGAAAATTGAGGAAGCTCAATTTTGTTCACTCCAGTTACTGCAGCTTCTCCTCCATTCCAGTAAAACTCAATGTCATCAGTGGTATAGCCATCTGAAACCAAGAAGTAGAACAGTATTCAGTAGAGTTCACTTGATCTTGAAATTATTTTGAAGACAGCCTGGAATGTGGAAAAACTTTCTCAGCAAGAGGTTGTAAAATGACTTTGCTATCATCAGGATGCATGTAGGTCTCCTGTGGCTTGCTATTTCTGTTGGATTGGGTGGATGGATGCTTTTGCTTTTGCAGACATATATTTTGATCATTTAGTACAATGTAATATATTTTTAGCATCTTTACTTTAACTATGTCTACCACTGGGCATTCTTGGGTTGGATTGGGAGATGGCTGGATTCCACATGTCTGGATATTAATTTGAGCATGCATTATTTGACAATATTAGTAGCAACAGGAATAATTGAGCATGTGTTTGTTAAATTGGCAACAGAAAATGTAAAGCTCTAAGTATAAAGACCAAATTTGTACAAACCCATTAATAACAAGACATTAAAAGTGTACTTACTTTTGGAAATGTATAGCCATATGTACATATATACATATGTATGTGAATATCAATTTAGGAATACAAATATTAATATTCTTTAATTACAACTTAAAGAGTGAAGTTTTAATAGTCAAATGAGTGTATATATATGCATATATAGATATGTATATACATATATATTTTTTTCGGTTTTGGGACTTCAGTCAGCTGTGCTCATGACTTACTTCTGATTCAATGCTCAGGGCTCACTCCTGGCAGGGTTTAGGGACTCATGTGTGGTGCTAGGAGTAGAACTGGGGTCCACTGCATGCAAGGCAAGTGCCTTACCCATTGTACTGTCACGCAGACCTTGAACCAAGTTAATGCTTAATACTACTAAGTTAGATAAACACTTATTAATTTAAGGCAAAAGTATAGAGGACTGTAGACTGCATGAAAGGATCTACCCTGACGTTCCTTCTCTTTCTGCTTTTATTTCCACTCCCACTGCAGTGTTCTAGCTGTTATGGTCATCTAGGTGAGAAACCTGCGTATGAAAAATGTATGGGTAGCACTGTAGCACTGTCCTCCCATTGTTCATCAATTTGCTCGAGCGGGCCCAGTAACATCTCCATTGTGAGACTTGTTGTTACTGTGTTTGGCATATCCAATACGTCTCAAGTAGCTTGCCAGGCTTTGCCATGCAGGCAAAATACTCTCGATAGCTTGCTGGGCTCTCTGAGAGGGGTGGAGGAATTAAACCCAGCTCGGTCGGGCCGGTGGCTTGCAAGGCAAACACCCTACCTCTGTGCTATAGCTCCAAACCATTTAAGGCAAGGAAAAGGCTGTATCTGTCATTGTTTTCTAGAGAAAAATATTTTTTTTGAGTGCTTTTTTGGGTCACACCTGGCGATGCACAGGGGTTACTCCTGGCTCTGCACTTAGGAGTTACTCCTGGTGGTGTTCAGGGGACCATATGGGATGCTGGGAATCGAACCCGGGTCCGCCACGTGCAAGGCAAATGCCCTACCCACTGTACTATCTCTCCAGCCGCTGAGAAAAAGATTTTTCTAAGTTCATTTTATATTTATATTTGTTTCAAATATAAAAGCATTAAATCTTTTCATTTAGATTCAGGACTGTGTTCAAAGGTAAGCTTTTAATATAGTAGACATTATGCTGACCTACTTTTGATTAAAACCAGCTATACCTTTTTCAAGAGATAGAAAGAATATATTTAAAATTTGGATGCCAAAGGATTGCCATCATGACACTGCAAGAATGTAAGATATTTTAAACTATTTTCCCTGATTTTTTCCCCAAAGGGAAATAAAAATGTCAGCTTCATAGCTTTAAATATTTCTTTGATTTTGTTTTGGGGCCATAATTGGCATTGCCTGGGGGTTACTCCTGGCTCTGTGCTCAGGAGTCACTCCTGGTGGTGCTCAGGGGACCATATTGGAAGTTGCTAATCGAGCTCGGGTCTGCAAACGCCCTACCCACTGTACTATTTGTCCGGCCCTTAGTTCTTTAAATATTTTTAACTCCTCTGCAAAAGGCTGTCTTTCGAATTTTTGTCCTTCTGCACATTGATTGCACAACTGCTTCATATTTGTTAATTTTCCAGCCTTTGACAGTTATCATTCACTATAATGTGTTTCAATTTTCTTTTTTATTTCTTTTTAAATCATCTTTGTAGGACCAAGAACTTACTCTCTCTTCAAAGGTAATCTTCCACACACAGTACTTCATTTTATAATATCTCAGTTGTAGACACAGAAATAAAAGATATGTGCTTCTAGAGTTAATCCTCACTGCCTGAGAGACTGGAATACCTTCTTTACAGAATTTTGAATGAACTACATAGGACTAACTGGTTTTGGGCATTCCTCTGTTACTGTGATTTTTAACATTACTCTGAGACTCTGATATCATCTGATCTGAAGAGAATGAGAAGACAATTCATGGATTGAAATGAAATGTTTTCAAAAGACACATTGGTCTGTGATTTTCTAAAAGCACAAAATATAGGGAGACAGCTCAAAGGGCTGGGTTATGTGCTTCGCTTGCAGATGCCCCAGGGTTGATCCCTAGTACCACATGTACCTTGAGCATCATTGGAATCAATCTTGGAGCACAGAGCAAGGAGTAGCCCCAGCACTGCTGGTGTGGGTATAGCTCCAGAACACAACCAGAACAAAAAAAAATCAAACAACACTTCTTAGCAATAAGCAAACAACCCATTAAAAAAAGCCAATGTCTTTAACAAACACTTCACCAAAGAAGATAAAAAGATTACAGGGAAAAGAGCAAATCCAAAGATGCTCTTTATTATATGTTATCAGAGAAATGAATAACATAAACATGAGATTCAGGCCTGTCAGAGGTAGATGGGATGACTGTGGCCAAGATTACAGCAGAGAGGAGCTTCGTCTTGTAACTGTGTGTTCTTATGAACTTGAATGGATATATGTGTGTCTTGCTGACTATGTGACACTTCAAGATCCTGGTCGAAAAACTGACAGAAAGGCAGATCTTTAAGAACTCAGCATCTTGGATGCAAGTGCTTCTGTGAAGTCAACCTGGACCTGCTGTGAAGAAGAAAATGATATTCTAGGGCCCTACTGACCTGTGTCTCTTCAGAGTCATAAAAGACCTATCAACCTCAAACCAGTCAGTGAAATAATTCACTACATCTGTGAGATAAAAAGCAAATCAGCTGGTTTGGGAGAAGAATAGCATATGCCAGACAAAAGGATAATTTCTCCTCATGGACTTTTTATTTGTGATTAAAAAAATGCCTCAGCAACATCTGTCTAGTAAAATGGCATGGAAAAATCTTTCTCATAATGAGAGATGGAATCAAAATTAGTACAACACATTTCTAAAAAATCTTTTCGGAGGAAAAACAATGAATCTAAATTTAAAGCTCTCTTTTGGCCTGACAACTTGGGATTGGATTTTAGATTGGCACATCTCTTACCCTTAGCTTATCTTTCTATAGTGTTTTGCCATCTTTCCCTTATGCCCTGTCCTTGTTAGACCATTAACAGTTCACAATAAATCCACTAACTGACCTCTTCCAAGTGACAGTGCTCATGGTGCTGCTTTAAGTTGGCTATAGAATGTTTGAACTGGAATTATTTGTTAGAAAGGAAGCTCTTAAACCCATTACATAGAGACTCAGTGGAGGGAAGAACTATTTAAAGCTCAAAGTCTGAATATGAACTTCTGCCCTTGTTCCAATTTAGGTCTGAATTTATGGTACAATTTTTTTTTTACCTCATTAATCTTCTGAGCTTGTTGGCCCTGATGGGAGGGAGGGTTCATTTCTAATAGATAGACAAAAAGGTGGGCTGACAGAAGACAGTTTCTGTGTTCAACTTTAGAGCTGCATGTTGGAGGAAACCTGCTTGTTCATGTCTCTTTACTGAGCGCACAAACATGAGGTTTAACGGACTCTTCCTGGGCATCACAGTTTCTCTGGCTCCAACCTCTCTTTCATCTTTCCAGCTCTGTGAAGGGAACCTCTGTGCTCTAAGGCATAGACATCACTACTTTAAACAGGCAAGGGAAGTCAATGGAAATAATATTCGATATTACAATATACATGTTTTGAGTACTTTTATAGGTTGACGACCACATGAGACATTAAGAAAATTCAAGGGGACACAAAATTGAGCACTTTTGGGGATCTTGTGGCCTAAATGAAATATTTGAAAATTGTTGAATTAAGGGAGTTAAATATGGCTTTACAGAGGATTTGGTCAGTTGAGTGGAGAAGGCTTGTATACCAGGAAGAATAACTTGTGGGGCGAATAACATAAAGGCAGAGTGATGACAACATAAGTGGATATTTTCTGCCTATTTGTCCAACTAGCAACTCTTTGTGAACAAGAGAAATGGACTAATAAAGGAACCCTGAATATGCTTACGAACACCATAAAAATTTCAGATTTCAATAAAGGTAAAACTGGGTCAAAAGGAATAAAATGACTCGGTAGCTCTGACAGAGTGGGGGAAGACATGTAGGCAGATAATACAGACTAGTCAAATCCTTTTGCTGCCAATCAACTTGTATTAATGTAACTCTGTTTGTCATGAACAAAGTATAAAATCATGTTGATTTTTCACTTAGCTCATCTGTCTTTCTCCCACTAGGCTTTGAGTTCCTTGAGGTCAGGAATTAACTCCCGCTAAGTTTTAGATGCCAGTGTCTAGCATATGCATAAAATTTGCAGCATCTATTCAACGTCCAGTAAAAGTGTAGAGATGATTTTATTCCTGCTTCTCATCATCAGGACTGCTGACATTGCTACACTGACCATTGCTTGACAGCTAGGCTTAGCATGTGATTCTCATTCAATAAGTGGATCTTTACTGAGTACTATATGCCAAGTGGTGACAAAGTTTAGGTGATACTGTCATTGTCACTGTCTCCTGTTCATCGATTTGCTCAAGCGGGCCCAGTAACATTGTGAGACTTGTTATTGTGTTTGGCATGTCGAATATGTCACAGGTAGCTTGACAGGCTTTGCTGTGCAGGTGAGATACTCTGGGTAGCTTGCCA